AGCATTTTTAGATTAAAAAAAAAGAGGAAGTAAATCAATCGAGCTAATTTATCTTCCTTATGCACTGTATTTATTATTCATACAACTAATCACATTTATTACACCACAATACACAACGGTACACTTAATAATTTCATCGAATCTAAATCTTAATCGTGATACAACGGTAATCGATTAATAATATGGAGGTATAAATAGCACATATACTGTGACGTCGTGTATACTCTACGATATACAACTGGTCAAGAATTTTATAAACTCTTGGACCTGTGATCAGTATTCTTTCATCTACAGTGCTGTCGCGCGGTAAATTCTTGACCAAACGGTATAGTTACTGCATTTAACACGCTCCAGGGGAACAGAATAACATAATCAAGATCCTTCTATTTTTATTATGTAACTACATTTTTGTATCGTATATAACACCGAATAATTATTACTTTTCTCTTGTTAATTTTTTGCAACCTGCCTTTTCAATACATATAAATATTCATTGATTTATCATAAATACTATTCAATAATTAATAATAAGAGAAACCTTTTTCTTGCTCAATTATGGTTTTTTATAAAAAACAACTTAATAAAACTGTATACGAAAAATTTATTATCAGATATAATTATTATGTAAATTATTAAATAGTTTTACTAACGATATAGTTCAGAGTGCAAAAAATCAAGGCGTTACCATCAATCTAGTAGCTAAGTGCTTTATGACAGGGTTGAAAGATGCGCGTTTCTAATCATTACACGTGTGATCGAATGAAATTAAGTCTGCTTCGCTTGTAATGATAGAAAATTCGGTCGATCGATCTATTGTTAACGACATTATCGAAATAACAAGTCACATCAATCGATCTGAATCAATGCTTCTAGTAAATCCGTCTTATCTGTTACGTGTATCGTTTCCCTCTAACATTCAAATGTACGTACTAATTTTGCGAATAGCTGATATACTCTTTACTTATATTAGAACTATTTTACGTTGGTACATTTTATACATGTAACTATAGCATAGGCGACAGAGATTGTGAATTTCCGAGATAATGTCTTTTGCAAACAATAAGATAATAATAATAATTAAAGCACGTTTCTTTTACAAAAGTTTCTTCGCCGTTGAACAGTGAGTGGTCTTTTAGTCGAGTATTACAGAGAATAGTTCAATTTTTGTTCAAGTGGTCCTTTTTTATCATAGTTTGAAAAATTATTCATAGGAATAAAGGAGTTGTTTTTAACCCTTTCACTGCGGCAGATTTTCGTACGTAAAGTCTTTTGTTTTGGTCGTATT